TTGGTAGTGTGAGGGAGAGTGGGTGGTATTGTGAGGGAGGGGAGGGTGGTAGTGTGAGGGAGAGTGGGTGGTAGTGTGAGGGAGAGTGTGTGGTAGTGTGAGAGGGAGAGTGGGTGGTTGTGTGAGGGAGAATGGGTGGTAGTGTGAGGGAGAGTGGGTGGTAGTGTTAGGGAGAGCGGGTGATAGTGTGAGGTGAGGAGTGGGTGATAGTGGGAGGGAGAGTGGGTGGTAGTGTGAGGGAGGGGGAGTGGAGGGTGGTAGTGTGAGGGAGAGTGTGTGGTAGTAAGAGGGAGAGTGGGTGTTGTGTGAGGGAGAGTGGGTGGTAGTGTGAGGGAGAGTGGGTGTGGTAGTGTGAGGGATAATGCGTAGTATTGTGAGGGAGAGTAGGGGTGGTAGTGAGAGGGAGAGTGGGTGTACTGTGAGAGAGTGGGTGGTTATGTGATGGAGAGGGAGTGGGAGTGGTAGTGTGAGTGAGAGGGAGAGTGGGTGGTTGTGTGAGGGAGGCGCGAGGGTAGTGTGAGGGAGAGTGGGTGGTAGTGTGAGGGAGAGTGGTTGTAGTAGGAGGGAGAGTGGGTGGTGTAGTGGGGGGAGAGTGGGTGGTAGTGTGAAGGAGATGGTGGGTGGTATTGTGAGGGAGAGGAGTGGTAGTAATAATGAGGAAGTGGGTGGTAGTTGTGGGAGGGAGATGAGTGGGTGGTAGTGTGAGGGAGAGTGCGTGGTATTGTGAGGGACAGTGGGTGGTAGTGTGAAGGAGAGTGGGTGTAGTGTGAGGGAGAGTGGGATGGTAGTGTGAGGGGGAGGTGGGTGGTAGTGTGAGGGAGAGGGGTGGATAGTGTGAGGTAGAGTGGTGATAGTGGAGGGAGAGTGGGTGGTAGTGGAGGGAGAGTAGGTGGTTGGTAGTGTGAGGGAGAGTGGTGGTATTGTGAGGGAGGGGAGGGGAGTAGTGTGAGGGAGAATGGGTGGTAGTGTGAGGGAGAGTGGGGTGGTAGTGTGAGGAGAGAGTGGGTGGTATGTGAGGGAGAGTGTGTGGTAGTGGAGAGGAGTAGAGTGGGTGGTTGTGTGAGGGAGAATGGGTGGTAGTGTGAGGGAGAGTGGGGTGGTAGTGTGAGGGAGATGAGTGGGTGGTACTGTGATGGAGAGAGTGAGTGGTATTGTGAGGGATAGTGGGTGGTAGTGTGAGGGAGAGTTGGTGGTATTGTGAGGGAGGGAGGGCGGTAGTGTGAGGGAGAGTGGGTGGTAGTGTGAGGTAGAGTGTGTGGTAGTGGGAGGGAGAGTGGGTGGTAGTGTGAGGGAGAGTGGGTGGTAGTGTGGGGGAGAGGGGTGGTATTGTGAGGGAGAGTGCGTGGTAGTGTGAGGGAGGGAGGGTGGTTGTAGGAGGGAGAGAAGGTGGTAGTAGAAAGGAGAAATGGCGGTAGTGGGAGAGGGGTTGGTTTGGAGTGGAAGGGACAGTAGGTGGTCCTGAGGGAAAAGACGATGGTGGTGGAAGGGGAGGAGTGCGGTTGTGAGAGGGAAGGGTAATGGTAAGAGGAAGAGTGGGAGATAATGGGACGGGGAGAAGGTGATAATGAGGGACTTACTATGGTAGTGGGAAAGAAGGATCGTTGTAGTGGGAAGGAAGGATTGTGGTAGTGGGAAGGAAGAATCGTGGTAGTAGGAAAGAACGACTGTAGTAGTGGGGAAGGAGGGATAGTGATTTAAGAGGGGAGGGTGGTAGTGGTAGGGAGAGATGGTGGTAAGGGTAGGATGACAGGGTGGTATTGGGAGGGAGAGATGGTGGTAGTGGTAGGATGAGAGGGTGGTAGTAGTAGGAGAGGGTGGTAGTGGTAGGAGAGAGAGGGTGGTTAGTGGTAGGAAGGACAGGGTAGTACTAGGAGGGAGAGATGGTGGTAGTTGTAGGAGGAGAGGGTGGTAGTGGTAGAAGGAGAGGGTGGTAGTGGTAGGAGGAGAGGGTGGTAGTGGTAGGAGGAGAGGGTGGTAGTGGTAGGAGGAGAGGGTGGTAGTGGTAGGAGAGGGCGGTAGTGGTAGAAGGAGAGGGTGATAGTGGTAGGAGGAGAAGGTGGTAGTGGTAGGGAGAGAGGGTGGTATAGTAGGAAGAGAGGGTGGTAGTGGTAGGATGAGAGGGTGGTAGTGGTAGGATGAGAGGGTGGTAGTGGAAGGGAGAGAGGGTGGTAGTGGTAGGAGGAGAGGGTAGTAGTAGTAAGAGGAGAGGGTGTAGTGGTAGGAGGAGAGGGTGGTAGTGGTAGGAGAGAGGGGTGTGGTAGAGTAGAGAAGAGAAGGTGGGTAGTGGTAGGATGAGGGAGGGTGGAGTAGTGGTAGGGAGAGAGGGTGGTAGTGGTAGGAGGAGAGGGTAGTAGTGGTAAGAGGAGTGGTAGTAGTGGTAGGAGGAGGGGTGGCAGTGGTAGAAGGAAGGGTGTAGTGGGAGGAGAGAGATGGTGGTAGTGGTAGGAGGAGAGGGTGGCAGTGGTAGGAAGAGGGTGGTAGTGGTAGGAGGAGAGGGTGG